TCAGTGGCGGTAAAATTCGGGGACAATGAGCCGTTTGAACTCAAAACTGGTCAGTTTACTTTGACGTTATGACTTACTTGTTTGAATTCTGTTTATAAGTCAAAGCTGTTATTATGAGATTGAATCTATTCAGGTCATATCGCTAGATTCGCGTCTGGCGCCGTTGTTGCTTCTCAGGGGGATAATGCGGTTCGTTCCAACGAATTCAAATATTTCTATTGTTAGTTTTAGGTGCTATCTACTTGTGTTTTTGGTTCTCCGAAACCAGGTCCTAATCAGGGGTATAACAGTGAAATGTAATCGTTCAATGATTCTTCGTTTATAGAGCTCCACTAACAGTAGAATATAAGCAGAGTGCTTCTGCAGTAGGCAAAATCCCATCAAATTACTTGCGAAGAGAGCTTTCACAATCGGATGATGATATCATCAACTCTCGGTTGATCGACAGATCTCTTCGTCCTCTGATACCTAAAACTTGGAATTGTGATACTCAAGTAACTTATTCCACTTCGCTATCACTGTTATCTTCATCTTTCAGATAATAGTTAAACCTTTATCGTTGGACGAAAAGGGAGACGGAGTTATACTAGGACTCAACAGTGCTGCGGCAGCATTGACCCTCTCCGAAGTTCCCTTTGATGGCCCTATAGCTGCTGTTAGATTAGCATATCATGACAAAAAAGTATTTGAACTGCTTTTTTTCAAACCATACCCATTCTTTCAGGTGATAATCAATCCTACCGGTGCCGCCCGTAGAGAATCTTTGCTCAATGTGATATTAGCAGGGTGTTCAGAGAATAGGACAGTGATGATTGAAATGGATGGAAAAGTATTCCGTAAACAATTGAACTTGAACTAACTTTCATGCTTCAGGAAATAACCCTTAGTGAACTTGAAGAAGTATTCGATCATGGTATGATAGCTATTGGGGAGCTCTTGGATTCCATGAATAAACTTCAAAGAGAATGCGGGAAGCCAAAAGCAGAAGTAAGTTTGGCAACTTCAGCTCAATTTTCATATTTTTCCAGTTATCAGATGACTTTGATCCTATTCTTCTCAGGCGGATTCAGGAAGAAGTAGATGAGCGACTGTACTATATTCTAACTGACGTAACACACGATAAAATCTCACGTGACAAGGCGATTCAAGTATGTTTGAAATGTCTCACGTCATCCACGTAAACTAAACTTCATTTGTAATTGAAAGATTATGTTGTGCGGCTGTGTTCTTGAGAGATATGTCTTCTTAACCAATTTCCCACTTTTCAGGAAGTTGGCTTGGATATTTTGCACAATTATGAAAACAAAGCTGAAGCGGGAGCCATATTCTCTGAAGTTACCAAGAAGAAGCTCAGAAGTCTGATCCTCGAGAATGAAATGAGATGTGATGGACGGAAGCTGAAAGACTTCCGTCCAATCACAATACAGGTTGATGTATTCAAAGAGCTTCATGGATCAACCATGTTTCAAAGAGGTCAAACACAGGCAAGTTACATTCAGCTCTCACATATCACTGAAGACTGAGTACAGGTTCTCTCGACAGTTACATTCGATAGCGCGAGCGCAGCATTTCACCCAGATTCGATCTCGCAGATGCTTGGAGCTCAAAGAAAAAAGATGTTTATGCTTCATTACGAATTTCCGGGTTTCGCCGTCAATTCCATTTCAGTAGGTTTTTACTTCATGATAGTTAACAATCTTGGTTAACAGACAAGCAGAGGTTCTAACAGACGTGAAATCGGACATGGTGCTCTCGCAGAGAAAGCGTTGAAACATCTTATCCCAAATCAGTTTCCATACAGTATTCGTTTAGCTACTCAGGTACTTTTGTACTCTCATTTGAAATATTTACAAAAACGTGTTTGAGGTTCTCGAATCGAATGGTTCTTCGTCTATGGCGACTGTGTGTTCAGGTAGTTTGGCTATGTTCGATGCAGGAGTTCCATTGTTGTCTCCTGCTGCTGGTGTAGCCATAGG